CGATCGCCCCGGCTGGCCGATTGTTTTTTTTTCTCGCTGCCCAGCTCGGATTGCGCCCCGTGCAGGGTATTGGTCCGTAATCGGGCTGGGCCCTAAGCGGCACGCGGACTGCAGCAGACCCCCCGCGTCCGGACCGCCGGATGGCGGGAGGGAGGGCCCTTCGCTCGACGTACCCGCGCACCGGGCCAGCTTACAATTGATTAGAGCCGGAGATGGGGTTGGCTGGGTCCTGGAGAGAACCGGATTCTCACGCTGCGCCCCGCGTGCATCCCGAAGTCACCCAGACTGGCGCGCGACCCCGGCATTGTGCCCCGGCGCACAACGCCCTCTCTTCTGCGCGATCAACTTTTAGCATACAACAGGGCCACTCGACCTCTTGATGAATGGCTGGGTGTCTTTTTTGCCGTCGACACCTTCTCTAGGGGATGGTGGAACGCCTGGGTGTGATTTTTGTAATTTGGGGTAAGCTGGGGCTGAGCTTTTGGAGCTTAACCCTGTGTAGCTTGTAGCAACCTGGCCGCTGGCTTCAGGAGGTTATTCTGTGTCCTTTATTGTCTTTTGCGTACTCGTTTGAGCTTCTAGTTTTTGAGTTTTGCAGCTTCGAGTAAGCTTCGGATTTTTTATTGACGTCTGCGTCTCTCGCTCCCTCTCTCTCTCTCTCTCACTCTCTCTCTCTCTTTTTCCTAATCTCCCGGCGTAATTAGGCGCGCCCGTATTTTACGAGGTGCCTGAACGTCTTTAGAAGCTTATATTTCTGCTTTATTGGTGCTTTTTAAGGTATTCGATTGAAGCTTTAGTGAATTTTTTGCGCTTTTTTTTTGCTTTAATAACCCGCTTGCTGAATTTTATGCTTTTCCTTTAATATGAATTGGCCAATGGAACCTTGCTGTATGCTTGTTTATTAGATTTTATCAATGCTTAAAATCAGCAGAGCTGGCTGAATCTTAAAAGTTTTCCTTTTTTAAAGATTCAATGACGTTGCTGACTTGGTTTGATTCAAGCTGCGTTTGCGCTTTTTAAAATCGTTGCTGTTTTTTTTCGGAAGTATTCCTTGAACCCGGTGTTTTGAGCTTTTTCATCTTGCCTTTTTCTGGAAACTCGAAAGAATTTCGTGCTAAAGTCGCAGCCCTAGATGCTCTAGATTTTGTTTCCGCTGCTGAAATTTATCTTGCTAGAAGCACATCGGCTTTTCATGTATAGTTTTATTGTTAAGCTTTGCGATTTTCTAGACAACATCGCCATATGAGAATACAGATTTTTTTTGATGATAAATCCCGTTCGGAACCGTGTTGCAATCTCCATTTCCGCTCTCAATGCCCGCTGGCGGGGGAGGTATCACCCCCGGAGCGGTGTCCCCTTTTGTCTCCTGTTTGGAATGGCTTGATTTGGAGGGATCTGGCTGCGGGTGGTGGGCCCTCTCTACCATCCAGGAAGGGCCCATCCACAATGTGGCCCACAGCCCCGCCACGAACATCCTTTCTCCGCCCGAATCCGGCGTCACGTTTTGGCGGCGCCCTCAAGCGGTCATGCGTGGAATCTCGGCTTTTTTTTGAGGTGTTTCGGAATTGGGCAATTTGAGAGGCTTCGTGTCACTTGGGAAACTAGGCAAAACAATTTACGTTTTTGTTTTCGGTTCATTCGGATTCTCGGGGGGATTTATCGGGGAAAGAAAAATTTTCTTAGGAACGAATTTTGTGTATACAAATAGCGGAAGTGTGTCTAGGCTGTTTTTTAATAATGCTAAACGTCAAACCTTACAAAGGTCTATTAAAAGGTACAAAAGAGTAGCAATGCCCCCCCCCCCGATAATGCGAAAGAACTTTACCTAAGAATCTCTAATGCAGACTTTCCACACCATCTTCAACTACATATCTTCTACTACATATGCATATCTTTCGATCTGACGAGTCTCTTCTTTTTTCTCGTCTATAAATCTTTCGAATTATTCTCCTTTAGTTCGTGATTTCTAGCTGTTTGCAGCACTGTAATTTTTAACGAGGAGTTGTTTGGATCGTCCCCCCCCCGCTAACGAATCTGAACCGTTTCTGGACGAAACGTGACCGATCCCATTACAATCCACCTCCTCACCTCTTGTTATGCTCGGATTTGTTCGCCTTTTTCGGGGGGAGGATCCGATCCCCCGGGCGGGGTGAACGACCCCCGTTCTGCTGCTGGTAGATGGAGAGACTCGTGTGTGGCTGTCAAATGCCCTAGAGGCCCATTGCAGCCTGTACAAACACGGAATTCAGGGGTGCTCAACCCCCCATCTACACGAGACTCAATGACCCCCCTGAAAGCCCGGGCTTCTCCTCCAGCCTTTCGAGCATCTGACTCATGGCCGCAGGGCCCTAATACTGTTTGCCAGTCGACGGGGAGTTCCGGTTTTGGCCCCGGGCCAACCTTGCGTAATTTTTTGGCTTTATAGGGGTCGACACGTTCGGAAACGCCATTAGATTTTCGTAACTGGCTTTCTGGTTTTTCCGTTTTTCCTATACCTTTTTCGTGTTCTTGCTTGGAAAATCCATGTTATTATTCTTTTTAATAATCTAAAAAGACCTTTTAATACACTTCAGATGGCAATAGTAGTCGTAAATCTGAATTCGAAAAAAGCACCTTGGGCGTTATGTGCACCTAGGTTGGTCCGGTCTTTCGCATTATCGGGAGGGGGGGACCGAAATTTTTTGTATAATCCTAGAAAGGATATTAACTTTATTATTGGAATAGGACATATTTTTGGGTCAAATATAACTACTATATTTAAAGGAGAAAAACTATCTAAAAATTTACAAATTTAGAATAGGAAAAAAACGGTTTAGAAACACTGAAAGTTATGTGAAAAAAGTTGCCCCTGCCCCCCCACCCCCCGATAACGCCAAAGAACCTGTTGACCATCGTTATATGGAATTCAAATAGTGTAATACCCTGACGAGGGAAAATGAGAACTTTCATGCAATTTTGCACTTTATTTTGCACCTTCTTCCAATTCCAGGTACTTTTCCGCAATCTTCCCGGTCCCTTTAAGCCCTGAAAATCGCCTGAATCAGCTCATTTTTCCGCATCCGCACCGTCCGCTAACCCCGATTTCATCACACCAAATTGCCAATGTTGATCACAAAATGGTGCGCATTCTTGTGTACCGTTTCCGCTTCTCCGTCCCTCCCTACTGAGTGAGGGATTATCGGGCCTGGGCCCCAGCAGAATGACTCAATTCCGGAACCGGTCCCCCTACCCCCTCAGCTGTCTACCCACACCCACCAACCCCACGCACTCCAACAACCATTTTTTGGGGGCCCTCTGTGCCTAAGATACCAGTTATATTACAGTTTAAAGGGGTCGGCAAGTGGTGGGACGGTGGGTTTTCGACGTACTTTTAGCTTAGAATTTATTGAGCTTCGTTACTTCATACTCTTATCGAATGCTTTTTATCCACTTTTTCCATCCGTTTTAACAGTAGTTTTAGATATTTTAGGTGTATGGAAAAACGCTTTACAAAAATTAGAAAAATTCAGAAAATCATGACAACCGTATGTTTTGGTCAGCTCCGCCAATTTTGGTTGAAAAATTCGAGATTTTTGTATTTTTTTGTAAAGCCATCTGTAGAGTTTGCTATTAGGAATAGCAAGAATAGTTGGGTAACATTTTATCCGTTTATTTAAAACTTGTTTTCTAAGGAAAAGACCCCCCCCCGATAATGTGCAAGAACCTGCACGTTTTTTAAGAACTTGCTTTTTCTGTTTCTTGTTAGCTTTCGGAATTTTTGACATTTATTGGCCGTAAGAAGGTGCTCACTGCCGGATTTCTTTACGGCTTGAATCTACGAATTTTCGACTAGGAAAATTTGGACAAAATAATATGGACTTTTTGATAGTTACCCTCAGATTATGAGCTCCTTCATTTTCTAGTGCTGCAAACTATAACATTTCCTTCGTTCTAGACGTTTTCCCTTCTATGTTTGTATTTTTGTAACCTCGATCTTTCTAGTTCCGGTTTAATTTGCGTTTTTATCCTTTTCAAATGCCCTTTTTCCAGGCGGACCATCGCGAGCGGGCCACCCCATACCATTTACAACATTGAGTGCAGCAACCGTCCCAACCACCCGACCACCCAAATATTCTCAGCCATTCCCGAGGGCGATGAAGGCCCTCCTCGTGCCGCTTCTGCTCGCGGCCACTGTCTACGCGCAGTGTCCGCAGCTCAACTCTAATATTTGCCGGTGAGTACTTTCTGTAACTTTAGTAACGGAAGTGTTTTGAGTACATTATCGTAGCCCAAAATTTCACGCCGCCTTTTAGATGCTCCCCATCAATGACGGAACCGATCGCCATCATCTGCGAGCAGGCCGGAAGTCTGCAAAACGTGCTGGCAGCCATTCAGCCTGCCAAGGGCGCCCCGGTAAGGTTTAACAAATTCTTTTTATTTTGCAGCGATTTCCGAAAAAATCTCTGCAAGCTCACTTGAATACTTGGTTTTGCTAATGAATCTCTGCAAGTTTGCGTTCAGCTTCTCCTGTTTCTCAAGATCCTCGGCAAGCTTGCCATAAGTTTTTCTTTTCCTAAAAGTCTCTGTAACGGTGCCTGAAGTTTAGCTTTCGCCTAAAGGACTTTTGCAAGCTTGCATTAAGCCCCCCACCCATTTTCCCTAAAGGGTTTCTGCAAGCTTGCCATAGCTTTTATTTTCTTAAAAATCTTTGCAAGCCCTCCTGAATTTTACCTTTTCCCTAAAGGACCTCTGCAAGCTTGCCTAACCTGTGAAAATTTTCCTACATCTTTTCGGTTCCCAAATAATCTTTGCTAGCTTGCGTTAAAACAAAATTTTCCTGAAATATCTCTACAAGCTTGCCCTATGCTTTTCTTGTTCCCAAATGACCTCTGCAAGCTCGCATCTAAGCATATTTTTCCTCAAGGATCTCTGCAGGCTTGCCCTAAGCTTTCCTTTCCTGAAAAAACCTTTGCAAGCTTGCCACGCCCCTCTTTTAATCCTTTTTTTAGATTGATTCGTTGATGATCGTCGACACGGCCGTCCCCTCGCTGCCCGCTAATGCCTTCCAGGGCTTCACCATTCTTCGCTTGGCCCTGAATAGGAATACCTTGAGTAAGCAGTCACTCTCTTGCCTACCTTTCTATAGGCAACATCGACGACAACGCGTTCAACGGTGAGCTTCTCGAATCGCTCGTCGAGCTCGACCTCGGCGACAACAACCTCGGCCAAGTCCCCCAGACCGGTGTCACCAAGCTCCAGAATTTGAGGTGATTTTTTAGAGTTTTCGGGAGCCTTTAGTGCTGGAATTATAGATCTAGTTTTTTTCTAGAAAGCTCTACCTGTACCGCAACAAGATCTCCAACTTGCCGGCGAACTCGTTTGCCGCCTGGGAGTCGAAGGATTTGATTGTGAAGATTTCGCTGGCCGGCAATCGCCTGACGGATCGCTCGCTGGGAGATTCGACCGTGTTCAGGCCGTTCAAGCTGCTGCAGGTGCGCTTGAGAAATTAGAGTTTTAAAATTGACCTTAATATATAAAAAAATAGTGTTTGTGTGTGTGTGTGTGTGCCACTTTGCATCCACTTCCGTCTGTCTGTCCGGAGGATATCTCAAGAAGGGACGGGTATTGGGCTACGTATGATACGTCATTAGGTGCGCAATGGTCTAGGGATGACTGCACACATATCAGATTTTTAAAAATTAGCCATTTTCGCTATTAAATTTAGGTTTTTGTAAAAATATCTTTGTTAGGAATAATTAGCATAGACCGGAAGTGGGTGGTCGCCTATATAAAGAGGCAGAAACGGTTGTTTTCATTTTTTGTCTTCTGATTGAATGGAGGACAATTATGCAAAGGGAAGAATAGTATGGGGTCTGAGACGGGGCCAGGGTTGAAAAGTCGCGAAGCGGCTTTTCAACCCTGGTTGACCTTAACTTTTTAGAGCACCAAATTTTAGCTATTCAGACTATTAAAATTAATTTTATGGAAATGACCTTATATTTCATTTCAGGAACTTTCGCTGGAGACGAACGCCTTGACCCAGATCCCATCCGCCGCCCTGGTCAACCAGCGCCTAACCCTCACCAATCTCAACTTGGGCCTCAACAACATCAGCAATGTAGGCTTTTCTTGGGATCTTCTGCAATATCGGGGGGGGACACTTTTTCAAATACAAATAGCGGAAGTGTTGCTAAACTGTTTTTTCCTGTCCCTGAACGTAAAAACTTTACAAATTTTTTGATTAAAAATTGCAAAAGATCTCAATTTTTCAACCAAGAATGCCCGCAATTTAACGAAAACTTCGACGTTTAAAATTTTTCCAGGATTTAGCTTGTTTTCCGGTTGAAATTTACTGATATTTGAATAAAAATTGCTTCCTATTAAAGATATGCTGGGGCGAGAGAGGGCGCGCAGGGAGAGGCGCAGAGACATTTTCTTTCCCGTGCGTAATCGATTGATTTATGCCGCCCCTATCCCTTTAAGTAAAATTCCTAGACTTCCCCAAAAGGCCTTCGAAAACAACAAAATTTAGGTGCCAGTCGGAGCCCTCGATCTGCCGATGCTCACATCTCTTTCCCTGGAATTCAACGGCATCACCGTCATCACCCCACAGGCCTTCCAGGTATAGTTTCAATGCAAAAGTGTAGTTTAAGCTAATGTAGAAGAATAGTATGGCTTTTATAACCCCATTCATCATTGAAATTTAGGGTGTGCCCAACCTACAGTACCTCTACGTCACTGGCAACAAGTTCCCATCGTGGCAGCCGGAAATGTTCCGGTAAGTGAGCAGGAACCTTTGTAAGAATATTTTTGCCTATTTTTATGCGAATTTCAAGGTAATTTTTAGATTCGTTCCCTACCTGCGAACTCTGGGCATTGGCGAGACGCCGATTTCCGTCATCCCTAACAACGCCTTCCAGGTATATTTGATTATTCTTAATATATACCTTCAATTTTGATTACAATTTTTAAAGAAACCAAAAATCCCCTTTTTCAGTACATCCCGAACCTGTTGCGCCTGGAGATGTCCGAGGCTGCTGTCGACACGATCGAGCGAGGGGCCTTCCAGCGGACGCCCAAGATCCAGGCCATCGTCCTCAACAAGAACCGACTTTCCCAGTACGTTTTTGAGTATTTAAGTGATTGAAAATCTGGTTTGGTTGGCTAGTTTTTGCGCTTTTTTCCGGGTTTTACGTATAGAAAACCGCTTCCTAACTTATTTAAGTGTATAAAAGAATACAAAAACTCCTCGAGCCCACCCATGCCATGCTGGAAACCAAGCGCCGGTCCCAATTTGTGCCCCGCACCGCAGCAGAGCTTCAAGTATTTGCCGAGGGGGTGTTTGTCTCTTTGTCCACCGAGATGGCGTGTGCTGAATCATTTTGGCAAATGATGGGGGGAGGGCGCGGCTTTTCTTATATCCGGAATGTTTACTAGGCAGAAGCTGGTAGCCGCTGAACCAGCTATAAAAATGTAAAAACTGGAAAATCGAGGGTTTAAACCTGGAATGAAATGTGTAAAAAGCTCATATATAAATAAAATTCATTTTAGAATTCGCGCCGACTTCTTCCAAGGGCTCAACGACCTCTACTCGATCGACGTCGGTGCCAACCGCATCTCGAACACGGAAAACCTCGCATTTGCCAACCTGCCAACCATTCAGCATCTGGATATTAGGTAGATTTTTAGTGGAGTTACATAATAAGAGTCAAATGAGCCTATAGAAATGGTCAAAAATCTATATAATAGCTCCAAAACACTTTTACAACCCGTTTTTTTCAGCTACAACCAACTGCAGACGATGCCGAACGACGTCTTCCAAAACTCCTTCCTGCCCCAACCCGACGAGCGCCGTGTTATTTATGCTTGTGGTGCGCCTAGTTTTTCTCTTTATTTTTACACATAAAAACGTCCCGAAAATATCGATAGAAATCGATTTTCTGCCTAAAATGATCACGAAATTTGGCAAAGTCATATTGTCGAAATTCCGAATGCCGAAATTTGAAAATGTCGAAATTTCAGAATGTCGAAATTCCCAATGCCGAAATTTCGGAATGCCGAAATTTTATAGTGTCGAAAATCATAATGCCGACGGTTCAGAATGGCGAAATTTACATTAGCGATTCCCCGAAAAACCCCAGATCCTGTGCAAAAATGTCGACCTTATGAAATTTCGGCATTCTGAAATTTCGACATTTTCGGCATTATCATAACACATAAAGTCAATAATTAAATCCATTCTAGGCAACCCCTGGCTGTGCGACAGTCAGCTCATATGGTTCCGTCAGCTTCTCCGCGAGAATCTCGACATTGACATTGACAAGCCGGGCTGCACATCCGTCTGCCGCTCTGCACCCAACAATTGCCCGCCCGAGGGCACACCGCTTCGATCCGAGGATCTGTGCCCGTTGAACAGCGAAACGCCGCAGGCTTTCGTCTCGTCACCCCTGTCGATGGTCCCCTGGATCATCCTCGGTAATTTTGGAGGGAGAATAAGAACAAAATAGGACAAAGTTTCTATATGGTTTTTTTAATATCCTCACATGAAAACTACAAATTTGTATCAAAAATATAAAAAGTATCGATTTTTCGAGCGATAAACCAAAATTTCGACTGTTTCAAAGTTTTTAGCTAGTTTTCTAGTCGAAATATAGTTTTATATTACTAAAAACAATTAAAACACTTTATTACGTTACTAGGCATTTCTAAATTTCGTCCAGTCCCGGATTTACGCTAGATAATTCCACTCTGAACAGCGCAACGCGAGCCGCGACGCGTACCAAAAATAAATTTTTATCCTCAAAACCTTACAGCGATCATCATGACGATCCTGATGATCTCCATCTGCATGCTGGCGCTGATCCGCTACGGCATCTCGCACAAGCGGAAGAAGCAAAAGGACCAGGAAATCGAGGAAGACCGATATCTCTCCACTGCTGGTTCGTACTTGCCCTCTTGGCTAGTTTTTAAAGTCGAAGAGCATCAGCTTTTCGAGTTTTTAAAAACAAAGCAACGAAAACGTAATTTTGAACCTTTAGCATCAATGTTCGCCGGTCCCGTCTCGACGATCGGGCCGCTGGGCATCGAGAGTCGACCGTACACGTCGCACACGGGGCTCGACCTCGATCTGCCCACAGCCCACTCACTCGACGATCGGCCCAACAACTATCTCTACTAGGTAGGTGGAGACTGGAGCACGACTCAAGTCTTTTGAGCATCGCTTTTTCGACAAATTTTCGAATTTTATGCATTTTTCTAAATTTTTGTAAGGACGCTTCTCCACTTGAAACATAGCGAAATTCGAAAAAACAGGTCCGAAAACTTAAAAATGTGATTAAAAAATTAAAAATATCGTTTTTGGGCCAAAATGGCCAATTTTCGAGCAAAAATTATTCAAATTCAAATTATCGAAGTGTTTTACACTTGACGTATAGCTGAATTTTACAAAACAAAACGATTAAAAACAAAAACTAAACGGCGTATGGATAACGTAAAAATAGTTTCCCGCTTTCCTACCCCCCGCTAACGACCCAGTACCCCCGTTTTGCTCAGCATCTAGCTAAAATTTTGCGAAATTTTCGAACCTCCGAGTCAAAAATTAGTAATACGATCTGGTGATTCCCGGGTTATCGCAGAAATCACGTTGACCTAGCGATACGGTAGCGTGAATCACTCGGGTGAATTATTAGAGCCGACACGTATCTGGTTGTGCTCAGGGTTTTTTGTGGCTAAAACCTATGAATCAGGACGAAAAACCCTAATCTGGCGCTTCTGAGACTCGCGTGTCAATTCGTCATTTTCGGCGCGGTTATCTTTGCAGCAAATGATGCTTACAAATAGACATGAGGTACAATCAAGCGGTTTTCTCAGCATGGTGCAAAGACGCCCACGATTTTGCACTGTTTTGAGCCGGAAGTAAAGGGATGAAGCCGAAAATCACTAAAATAATTCGTAGTGTCCTCGGTAAAGAGATTTTATCGCGTAAAAGTTAAAAACTATCAAAAAGTTTAAAAAGCCAAGTTTCCAAGCTAAAAAAGTTCATAAAAGTATGAAATTCTCGGCCGAAACCGATTTTTGCAAAATTACATAGCGTAACTGAATCATCTCGACGAAAAAATAACCTAAAAATTGGGCAAAAAGATCTTTCCAATCCAAAAAAAACGGAAAAAGCAAAAAAACCCACGGTATTTCAACTATACAATTACCTAGCGTAATCCAATAACCCTTAAAACCCAAAAAGCACATTTTTATTCGTATTTATTACTACAAGGTATTATGAATTATTTCAGATACGATGTTCCCCCCAAAAAGAGGTGCTCTGCTCAGCCATATATCATATCCGTCTCTCCTGCCATTTCTTGCTCCCACTCCCTCCTCGCCCAGCTCTTCCAGACGGGACCCCACACCTAAATCCACAACCCTGCCCCTGCCTTCAATGCTCCTTTAGAGCGCCTTCAGCCCTATCCCGTGCCACAGCTACCGTATCCCCCACTCCCCCAACCCAATGTTTGTACATTTTGGCCATCACGTAATTATTTTTGTTTTGCTTCGGCTTTGTGCCCCCAACGGTTCTGTTATATTGTGAAAAAAGAGGTGTGTGTTTTTGGATTATGGTATGATGATAAAGATTAGAAGATATTATGAGTGGTATTTACGCATTAATTATACGATTTAACACTTTTTTAATCAGCGCCTTGTGGCTAATTGGTAGTGTGCTAACTTGCCACTCCGAAGGTCCGGGTTCGATTCCGGGCCACGACAAACTTATGGGAACAGATATAGTTTTAGCTATAGGATAAAATTCAAGTATTCCGAGACGCGATTTACACGTCACTGCAGGGTTTTTCAGTGTCAAAGACCTCTGTGGCTAATTGGTAGTGTGCTAACCTGCCACCCACAAGGTTCAGGTTCGCCCCCGCCGGCCGCAAAACTTTTTGCTTTTTGGCAAAGAGTTGACAAATAGACGCCCCTTTCGTTATCCCATCGGAGAAAGCATCCCGAACGGCGACTGGCGAATTAATGACACCATTTCCGAAAGCCATGGCGTCTGGCTAATTGGTAGTGTGCTAGCCTCCCAGGCAAAGAGCCCGAGTTCGAGCCCCGCCCGCGACACTTTTTGCTTTTGGTGAAAAAGTTGGGCAATTTTATCCCTTTAGGTATTCGATAAAAATAAGGTCCCTTTGGCCAGAATTTCCACTAATTTTAGGCGTTTTTCTTTTTTTTGGCGACGGCTATTGGGGCCGACCCAAAATACCCCGATAACTTCTTATTCTGCGCTATTTTTAGCGTACCCCATGACTTTTTGGGGGCCGGCTTCATCAGGATTTACGGCCGTTGCTCCTCTTTCGTTGCCACAATGCGGCTTGACAAATTTTGGGGAGGGCAAAACAAGGTGATAAAGCAGAAGCGCCTGACCCGCCAATGCCGCTTCAGATGTCCCGCATTGTCGGTTTGAGTCACGCGGGATTAAATGACCATTTTATCGGCTCCTGTGTCAACAATCCATTTCCGGTTCAACGCAAAAAGCTTATCACAGCACGGGGTATGCGGGGGTACGGTAGGTTATATCCGGTCATATCCGGTAATTGCAAGGGGGTTAATCGAAACAATTTAACCTTAGAAAAATCACAAAAATGGGCAAAAAGGACATGAAAAGATTTTAGTTTTTCATGGTTTTTGATCTTTTGACTTGACATGGTTGACTTGACACGACATGGTTCTTTGACAAAAAAACATCAAAAATGACAGATGTTAAGCAGAAGGTCCAACGTATTTTTCCTTTGGTTTTCAGCTTAAAATACGCAAGAAAATCACGCAAAATCAACTCTTAAATACAGTATTTTTGCATAGGAAACATTTTTTAATTTTACGGATTATAAACTATTTACGCGCATCACAAAAATCGTCAATAACGACAAATGCGTACGCCTAAAACATAAGCCTAAGCTAAGCCAAGCCTAGCTAGCCTAAGCCAGCCCACCTAAGCAAATTTTCTTTCAAAAACAACACTCCGCTGGGCCAATGGGACTTATTACAGCCCTCTTCAACACATATTAGCATTTTTATAGCAAATCAACTCCTTTCCGAGTCCTTGGATTAATGCGCCGTTAGCTAGCCGGCCCTGGACTACAGGGTGGCCAGAAAAAAAGTGCCTGGTTTTGGTACCAATGAAATATCTCACTAGGAGAAACGAATCGATTTATCGTTACCATGCCAGAATACTTAAATATGCTGGGTATGAAGCCAATAATCATAGGTTACTTTTTACGATTTTTGACGACCCCCTACTAATTAAAAGAGGTTTTTGAACATTTTAAAAAGTAGGAAACTTTGAAGAAGAAAATAATGGAACTGTGAATACACAGCCGAACAGTTAAAGGTATCAAAATGAAGCTCTTAACATACGCTATCAAACCTGTGTTAAAGAATTTTGATCGGTTTAACTAGTCGTCAATAGGAGCGTTCGGAAAATCGCGACTTTTTGGAGAAATAATTCTAGATAAAATTTCCTTACCAACCGATTGGTCTAATATTTTGTAGTTAGCAATACATAAATAACTACTAACTTTTGGCATTAACATTTATAAAATCCCAATCAAAAAAATTTTTGACATGTTGCCAAGTCGACGGAATTTGGAATTTCTAGGCTGTTTTAGTTAAAATTATAACATGGTTATCTTTGGCAACTAGGATTGCATGTAACAAGTACAAAAAGTTATGGCGTCAATGCGGTTTCTATGGTCAATTCGGAATCGGCCATTCTGAAAAAGTCGCGATTTTCCGAACGCTCCTATTGACGACTAGTTAAACCGATCAAAATTCTTTAACACAGGTTTGATAGCGCATGTCAAGAGCTTCATTTTGATACTCTTTATGTCCGGCTAAGTCATTAAAAGTTCCATTATTTTCGTCTTCAAAGTTTTCTACTTTTTAAAAAATGTTCAAAACTTTTTAACGAGTAGGGGGTCGTCAAAAATCGTAAAAAGTAACTTGTGATTATTCTTCATACCCAGCATATTTAAGTATTCTGGCATGGTAACGATGGTTCGATTCGTTTCTCCTAGCGAGATATTTCAGTGCAAACCAGGCACTTTTTTTTTCTGGCCACCCTGTAGA